AGGACCGCGAGCACTTGGCGCGGGGCCTCCCCGAGTGCCGCTTGGATGACCAGTGGACATCCTGGATGCGATCCGGCAACACACAAACACCCATTTCCAGCAGGGGGCAACTCGGCGCAACACCGTCCAGAGCACGACGGACGACCAGGTTGTCTCCGTGCACGCTTTGGTTCAGCTGCTGCAAGCAGTGATCGCTTCAAGGTCTTGCAGGACAATATCGGGACTGACAAAAGCTTTGGTTAGGCTCGCCATGACATTACACACTTGGTCACGTATTGTGATGAGGTGCATATCGTCGAGTCGTCATCTTAGATCTTTACAATATTTAGATTAATAGCCTTACGTCTTAGCTTCAGACTTTGATAATACGTATATAATTATGGCCTGCTCCTATAATACTTTGAGGGGATAGGATGGTTCCCCCACCCTGGCGGGGGGCCAGGTCGGTTCTTTGCCTGACTCAACACCTTTGTGAGCAGCTTAGCTATTTGATTTTCAACTTTGATTCTTGTATTGCAACCAGAGCTGTCTGAGCAATACTTCTATAGCCTGTACTATATTGAATGAATGTCCATCGAATACATGGTACGAACTTCACCCCTCCGTCGAAGTGCTGAGGTGGCCACGACAACGATGACTTCACTGTGACTGCGTGAACATGGGCCGGCCTGTGTGTAAAAGCTTCTGTGTGTAAAAGTGTCTGTGTCTAAAAGTGATTGTGTGTAAAAGCGCTTGTGTGTAAAACCGTCTGTGTGTAAAAACGTCTGTGTGTAAAAGTGTTTCTGCGTAAAAGTGTTTGTGTGTAAAACCGTCTGTGTGTAAAAGCGTTTGTGTGTAAAAGCTTCTGTGCGTAAAAGCGTCTGCGTGTAAAAGCTTCTGTGTGTAAAAGCGTCTGTGTGTAAACGTGTTTGTGTGTAAAAGTGTTTGTGTGTAAAAGTGTCTCTGTGTAAAAGCGTCTATGTGTAAAAGCTTCTGTGTGTAAAAGCTTTTGTGTGTAAAAGCGTCTGCGTGTAAACGCTTCTGTGTGTAAAAGCTCCTGTGTGTAAAAGGGTCTTTGTTAAAACTGTCTGTATGTAAAAGCGCCCGTGTGTAAAAGTGTCTGTGTGTAAAAGTGCCTTGTGTGTAAAAGCGTCTGTGTGTAAAAGTGTCTGTGTGTAAAAGCGCCTGCCTGTAAAAGCTTCTCTGTGTAAGGGGTTCTCTGTGTAAGAGCTTTCTCTGTGTAAAAGCTTCTGTGTGTAAAAGTGTTTGCGGTACAAACTATTGTCTTGTACTTATGCTATATTGTCTTGATACTCCTCTTCTCGACTGCCTATAACACATCTTTAATATATTGTTTTGTAATATGGTGTCTCCATACTAACGAGAGAAGACCCTGCTCCTCTACGCTCTCGGGCCATCCGTCGTCTAGTTTTTCCAAGTCTTGCAGTAGCTCCCATTGCCCCCACTCTGTGTCAATCTGTGAAATATCGCGCTTAAGGATAGTGTTTTGCAGTAGCAGTCACACAGACTCAAGCTGTTGACGCTTGATCTCAATTTACCTTCAGTTAACCCCGTTTCTCCCATTCCCATTCCGATTCCCATTTCCTATACCACACTCACTGTATGGATATTGTTTTCTAGCAACCCGTTGTAATCATGTTGCACGAAGTGCGCCACCTCTACTTTCAGTTCTGCACGTCCCCTCGCCATTCAGAACTCGACTTTCCGTCCTCAACTCACTGTGGAGCAGGCCGGGCTTCAGATGGCATGATGGAATCCTAAGCCTACCTTTCGACATCTGAAGCCTTCAGGGTCCACCAGAGTTTGGGCGTACCTTGGCTGGCCGGTTGTTTCTTTTTTTTGGTGATAAATGATGTGGCCCGCCAGTTGGGGCTCGAAGACAGGATGAGCAGACTTTTGGCCACCCCAAAATTCATTGTTTGGAAGGGTTTGGAAACATATTTTTCACCACCATTGTTTTATGGCAATAGGTTCTTGTTCGCTCCAAAAAAAACGTTGTTTTTGAACATGGCAATGATGTTCCACCCAGTACCCAGGTGGGCCATGGGGTTGTGAAAGTGGAAAGTGGCCATGAAATATTCTCAGTATTTCCCCGTTATGTCTGGGGAGAACCTTGTTTACAATCCAGTTAAAACATTCCATTGTGCATCAGTATCGTTCTGTTTGCTTTATCTGCACCGATCTTAAAAATATCCCATGAATAACCATGATATCCCACAGATCACCATTAAATCCAATTGAATTCCATTATCTTCACATTTGTGATGTTCATTTTCCCAGATGGAAACACGAATCGTCAGGCCGCATCAGCGCTGACTAGATTGCCAAAGTCTTTCCAAGTTTGGGCACTGGGATCCATGGCAGGTGCCATGAGCCAAATGAATACTAGTGTTGTTGGGGTATGATTCTAGCTAGGGGGTCATTAACCTATCCGTTATATATTCGGGATTATCATAATTATAATCATGAACAAGGAATCCTGTTCTGGACGAGCCAGGATTTCAGTGCTTAAATGGATATGGGTCAGACACAGAGTATTGAGTATGCAGTGATTTTTTCGATGGAATTTTGATGAGTTGTGTGTGTGTGAAACATCTGAATAGATGTAAAACTTCTACCTGATGATGTTGACTTTCTTCGTTGATTGGTTTCTCGGTTAGGTATTCCACTGCTGATTTAGTAAATTGTTTGTCGGTTTCTTTTCAAAATAGGAAGCAGGGGGCCTGAGGCTTCTCAACAGGACTAGGCCAGCGAAGACGCCTGTTGAGAAGTGTGAAATCATTCTGGGACGCCAGAGTGACGTACCTGCCTCAATTTCATTTCATTTTACATCGACTTGCTGAGATGGGATGCGGCCAACCCAAGAACCACCATGCTGTTTCCAAACAATCGGTTTTCAATTTTCTCGTTTCGCACGGTTTTCGCAGCCTGTCAAGGTGGGATCGATTTGGCTTACAGTAGTTGAAAGGGAAGGGCCAGCTTCCAACTCTTTACATCTAGCTCTGGCTATGGCGATGGCGCCTTTTCGATTTTTCTCGGGTCTTTTCACCGACCCCTTCCTGTCAGGTATAATTGGAGTGTTTTTGCACGTGAGATGCATTCCACGTCAAAATTTGCAATGATTGTTCTGAGCAAGTGTGTGTGCGTTTCTTTTAAACTGTTTTTTTTTGTGGATAGCGAAAACAATATTTTTTCGGCTCATCACCTGGATATTTCAATGGGCCAAAACTCAAAACAGATGATCAAATTTCTGGGTTCCGGACATACATAGCTACGTTAAATCACAAGAGGGCACCCTCCGGTAAAATAACACAGATGAACTTTGCATTTGCAAAACATGTTCTTTGGAAAACGATGAGCTGCCCATGTCTATGTTCATATGCCACGGAAAAATACATTAAAAAATTGGACACCCCAACCTGATTTCAGGCCTCAACTTGCTGCTTTCCCATCAATATTACCTTTAATTTTTGGCCCTAGTTGATGCACATGAGCAGGGTCAAGCGATGAAAGGACACATTGTCCACTGTCATTTCACAAACGTGTGTGATTTGCTGCGACAAGTCGGCAAGTTATAGGGTGCATTGAAGAACCATAGCAGTCATAACGCGCCTAACAAAATATTTCACAATGTGGAGCGATAGGATTTCCCTTAAACTATTGCACTAGAATCAGCACATGTTTTGACAGTAACACACATCAAGAGTAAACGATTAGTTGATTCTCTGGTTTTCAAAATAGTTAATTTAGAGACTTTGGTGGTCTCCACAGCTGAGGCCAGATCTCGTTGCAGTGACATGAACTTTGAAATGCTTCAGACTCATGAGAATCATGAGATTTCAAAACCCGTGAAATTGGGTTCACGACAGATTCCAGTTTGAACCATTGTGAATCACAATGGTTCAAACTGGAATCTGTCGTGAACTGATGAAGCGCCAAAGTTGCGTGGATATGTAGATTTACAGCCTGTGAGCGTTGTCTGGCCTGGAAGAGGCTGTTTTTCAATTGACAACATATCGTCACCCTGAGATCTGTGAAACATCAGGGCTGGGCTAAGTATGTTTTTTCCTGGGTCTCCTGGGAGTTGAAAAATTAAGTTGTAGCTGAAAATTTGAGATTGAAGGCATTTTGTGAATGTGGGATATCCATGGATATCCAACCTTTGGTTTCCTGAGAAAATTTGTATAAGAGGGTCTTCAAGGATAATTGCCAAGAAAATCGTTTGTTGTGTTCCCTATTGATTGCATATTTGTTTCCAACAACTTCAGAGTTAGACCAATTGGTAGATTTATTCTGGGCCATCAAGAAACCAGAGGTCGGGACTGCATTTCACCGCGGCCCACTCGGGTCAATACCTGACTTTCATGACATTTGCCAATTTCGTACGTACCTTTACACCTTGGTCATTTTGGGCAGGACATGCTATGAGATTACCCACACTCTCCCAGAAATTTTGTATGTTTGTTAGCATTTGTACCATCATGTCATCATGTGGAGTTCAGTTCTCTTGCACTTTTTTAGCACATGTATGAATGTCAGGGAACTTAAAGCTTTCCACGGAACGCTTGTTTGTGACTGGGTACGTCTAAAAATATCCGATTTTTTTTGGCACACCAAATCCAAATCCAATTCAGAACCAGAAAGTCCAGAAGCTTGCAGCTTGACGCCGTTCATGCGTTCAAGCTTTGGTTTCGATGGAATGAACATGTGAAGCAAGATCATAGCGACATGGCACTATTCAAGTGGAAAAAGGGATGATCAAAAACATGAAAACAGATGAAAATCAATGGATTGGTTTTGTTGGGAAAATCGAAACCGGAAACCATAGATTTTCCATGATTTTCCCATTAAGATCATTGGGGTTTTCCTGTAAATTTTCCCTTACACCGATCCATTGAGAAAAAGGATGAACCAACAATTCAAATGGTAAGAACACAACACTCTGTCATGGACCCACTGGAGGAAGGTGAAGGATCTCTGGTATCGACTGGTTTGTTTTGATTCGATCCATATGCGCCCACGCAATGCTGCCATCTCTGCACAATTTGGACTCCTCTGGGTTTGGACAGTCGAAACTGCAGCGCCGAAGAACAAGAACCTCTGGGATGCTCGTCTCAACACACAGCAGGTTCTTCGTTTTGTTTTCCGTAGGATTTTCTGATGCATTCTTTGGCAAGAAAGTGTTGCGGTCAAAAACCTGTTCGCTTCAACTCACATTTTTTCCTCAACTCAAGAATACCCTCTGGTAAACAAACATAGCTATTGAAAATGGTCATAGAAATAGTTGATTAACCCTGCATTAATAGCATGGTGGATCTTTCCAGTTCCATTTTTTGTTAACGTTTACCAGGCCGGGTACTTCTTGTTGGTGTTTGCTTTAACAAAACATCGATCCGATGGGCCAGTGCCCAGTACCACTCAGGATGGAAGTGATCCAGATACCTTGCAACGAGATCATCAACTCGAACAGGTGACATGGCAGGGACGCATTGGAATCGCTTTCGAACCATGGAGGAATTTTTCAGTGTTTTGAAGCAACCGTAAATTGTTGGCTATTAAAAAAAATACCATGAGATATATCACAAAAATGTCCAATAGATGAAATCACCATTGAAGTCCCATTTACTGGCCGGTAAATGCCATTAAATCCCCATTCTTAGGGGTTAACTCACAATAAATCCCATTCATATCTAATGAAATGCCTTTGACATCCAGTTCAGATATGTTCAGATTAACTCCAACTAATCTGAACCGTAAAATCCAGTAACATCCCATGAATTCCCACATGAATATCTCATATAGAATGGGCTAGCGCCCGGGTGCCGCCGACCCCCTTTTTTGGGGGGGCTGCGGGGCTTTTGAGGCTTGTAAGGGGTGCGCAAAACGTGCCACGTAGCAGTTTCGAAGCCCAATAGAAACAGCTTGTGGGGCCTAGGGAGGTACCATGGCAAAGCAAGCGGGAGGCCTTCGCAAGCTGCTGCGGAGGGTTTTGCGGTTCAAAGGCCTTCGAAAGCTGCTGCGGGGCTTTTGAGGCTTTTAAGGGGTGCCCAAAACGTGCCACGTAGCAGTTTCGAAGGCCAATAGAGACAGCTTGTGGAGCCTATAAGGAGGTACCATGGCAAAGCAGGCGGGAGGCCTTCGCAAGCTGCTGTGGAGGGCTTTGCGGTTCAAAGGCCTTCGAAAGCTGCTGCGGGGCTTTGGAAGCTTAAGGGGCGCCCAAAACGTGCCACGTAGCAGTTTCGAAGCCCAATAGAGACAGCTTGTGGGGCCTATAGGGAGGTACCATGGCAAAGCAGGCGGGACACCTTCGCAAGCTGCTGCGGAGGGTTTTGCGGCTCAAAGGCCTTCGAAAGCTGCTGCGGGGCTTTTGAAGCTTTTAAGGGGTGCCCAAACGTGCCACGTAGCAGTTTCGAAGCCTAATAGAAACAGCTTGTGGGGCTTATAAGGTACCATGGCAAAGCAAGCGGGACGCCTTCGCAAGCTGCTGCGGAGGGTTTTGCGGTTCAAAGGCATTCGAAAGCTGCTGCGGGGCTTTTGAGGCTTTTAAGGGGTGCCCAAAACGTGCCACGTAGCAGTTTCGAAGCCTAATAGAAACATACCATGGCAAAGCAAGCGGGACGCCTTCGCAAGCTGCTGCGGAGGGTTTTGCGGTTCAAAGGCCTTCGAAAGCTGCTGCGGGGCTTTGGAAGCTTTTAAGTGAACGTGCCACGTAGCAGTTTCGAAGCCCAATAGAAACAGCTTGTGGGGCCTCGGGAGGTACCATGGCAAAGCAGGCGGGACGCCTTCGCAAGCTGCTGCGGAGGGTTTTGCGGCTCAAAGGCCTTCGAAAGCTGCTGCGCGGCTTTTGAGGCTTTTAAAGGGTGCCCAAAATGTGCCACGTAGCAGTTTCGAAGCCCAATAGAGACAGCTTGTGGGGCCCATGGCAAAGCAGGCGGGAGGCCTTCGCAAGCTGCTGCGGAGGGTTTTGCGGTTCAAAGGCATTCGAAAGCTGCTGCGGGGCTTTTGAAGCTTAAGGGGTGCCCAAAACGTGCCACGTAGCAGTTTCGAAGCCCAATAGAGACAGCTTGTGGGGCCTATAGGGAGGTACCATGGCAAAGCAGGCGGGACGCCTTCGCAAGCTGCTGCGGAGGGTTTTGCGGTTCAAAGGCCTTCGAAAGCTGGTGCTGGGCTTTTGAAGCTTTTAAGGGGTGCCCAAAACGTGCCACGTAGCAGTTTCGAAGCCCAATAGAGACAGCTTGTGGGGCCTCGGGAGGTGTACTATGGCAAAGCAGGCGGGGCGCCTTCGCAAGCTGCTGTGGAGGGTTTTGTGGTTCAAAGGCCTTCGAAAGCTGCGGGGCTTTTGAGGCTCTTATAAGGGGTGCCCAAAACGTGCCACGTAGCAGTTTCGAAGCCCAATAGAAACAGCTTGTGGGGCCTCGGGAGAGGTACCGTGGCAAAGCAGGCGGGACACCTTCGCAAGCTGCTGCGGAGGGTTTTGCGGTTCAAAGGCCTTCGAAAGCTGCTGCGGGGCTTTTGAGGCTTTTAAGGGGTGCCCAAAACGTGCCACGTAGCAGTTTCGAAGCCTAATAGAAACAGCTTGTGGGGCTTAGGGAGGTACCATGACAAAGCAAGCGGGACGCCTTCGCAAGCTGCTGCGGAGGGTTTTGCGGTTCGAAGGCCGGGCTTTTGAGGCTTTTAAGGGGTGCCCAGAACGTGCCACGTAGCAGTTTCGAAGCCCAATAGAAACAGCTTGTGTGGCACCATGGCAAAGCAGGCGGGACGCCTTCGCAAGCTGCTGCGGAGGGTTTTGCGGTTCAAAGGCCTTCGAAAGCTGCTCCGGGGCTTTTGAGGCTTTTAAGGGCCATGCCGCACACCTACGGTGATCCCGGGCGCCGCCCCGCCTAGGCCAAGGCTAGGCAGGGGTCGGCGGACTTCTAGATACGTTTTGGTTACCCTCTGGTAATTTAACATAGCTATTGAAAATCACCATTTTTAGTGGGTAAATCAACTATAAATGGCCATTTTCAATAGTTATGTTAGTTTACCAGAGGGTAAATCCCTGCCAGCTTTCCCACGGATGCAAAGGTGCTGGACCTCACGTTGCGACGATCGCCTGACTGGGCGCGTGGCCATGCTCTGAAAGCGGCCTTGTGTAACTTCTGGCAGCCACGGAATCGACGCTTTGTGGATCGAGTTATAGGGCGGACACCGGTGGATTTGACCATTTTTTTGGGGGGGATCTTAAAGGGATAAATATGAGATTTATGATGTGGAGCCATAGGCTAAACATGGGGATTTAACCAAAACGTTTTTTTGGATATCATGTACATAATATGTGATATATAAAAATAGTATATCTATAATATATATATATATACACATACACAAACATCTATTGTATTTGGTATGTGGGTTTGAACTATAAATTTCACAATACACAGCGGAATTTATCGTGAGTGGCTCATGGGATTAGCGGCCGAAATGGGAAGGCCAGGCCAAGGAATATCGAGATATGATACCTACAATATAGATATATCTATGGATTGCTATGCAATGCAGGTTTGTTATATGGATATTATATCTATAGATATCATACCTGCTAACTATGGATTGCTATGCAGGTTTGTTTGAAAATTGTGGATTTACCATGAACATGTGGGGGAAAACGATGATACCCTGTTGATATCACAATTTGGGGCATCCAATTTTTGGAGAAATTTGAATAGCTGGAAAACAAGGTACTCTGTGCACTACTTGTCCGATATCCCTATTTTGGGTCATTTCTGGCTGGTAGCCGCAGAAGGAAGCATGATTCTCTTGGTATGGTTTCGAATTATGAGATCTTTTGTTAAAAGAACCTTTTGCCTGTCTCGGTTCAAGTGCCTTTGAGATGCCATTTCCGCTATTATTGTTTTTATCTTTGTGATCCGCTTTCCTTTGTTTAAACCTTTTTTTTGCAGCTGCAGCACAATATTTTTTCATCTTTAAGACTAGGCAGCACACATGATAGAAGCATTGATGAGGATGTGAGTCTATCTCACCAGGGTTATAAGTAAAATGTGAGTTGTAGAGACAGTCTGAGAGTAGGTGCATACCATTACGGTAGACCCACCAGCGTCCACCCCTCTGCGACCGAGGCAGCTGTGCATTGATTCGAAGTCGACAAGCGCTGCGATTGGATCAGAAGGATGAGGTGGAACTGACAGAGATGTAGTGTGCAAACTGGGATGGGTCAAAACAAAACCCATGATTTTCAACATATCGTTTAAAAAAAAATGTTTTGAACATAAAATGAATTTATTATTTCGGAATCTTCAAAACCCCTAATTTCCAAATTGGGATGGATCTGAGAAATCTGTTTTGCAAATTCCAAAATTGGGGGGATGAACCTACGCCGGCTATTTTGGTGTGAACAAAAAGGGTATCAGGGTTTGACCCACAACCCATTGCCTGGGGGTCTATACTGACATGAGTTGTCATTGGTAGTCATCCCCCCCAAAAAAATAGACAAGCAATGACAAGTAAAACCCTACTGAAATAGTGGTAAACTAAGCCTTTTCTGCATCTTTGTGGGGTAAAACTCGTTAGAATTCGCTTCCAAGTTAAAAAAGGTAAAACTCGTTCAAAATCCCATCATATCCCACACAATATATATATATAGATATATATATATAGAGTCTATCCCATCATTATATACCATTAGTTCTCAATATGTCCCACTATATCTCATTATAACCCGCCATTAGAATTGCAAGACATCCTCGTTTTTCAGTTGCGTAGGTTGCTTTGCTAACCGCTGCTTCCATCGAAGCTGAGCGAATGCCGAGAGTCTTCAGGTGCAACAGTTGCAAGGCCCGCCCACCAAGAATAGTGGGAATTGGTTATGTAATGGGGATTAATAATATAAGTGGCACATATAGTGCGAACATCCCATTGCATATCCCATTATATCACTATATATGGTTCATGATTGATGTACCCCCTCTACATGGTGCGGAAAAAATCCCATGAAACACACCATCCCCATCAAATGAGGTATTTTGAATGGTCAAACATGGTACAAATATCTGGGATGTGGTCATTCCACCATGAAAAAAAGGTGATTCCTTGCAATGGGTATATTATTGTCCTGGCGGACCATTCCCATTTAGTATTTAGTCTGTTCATGGGACATTAAACATATTAAACCCACATCCCCAACCAAGGTTGGTTATAGGGTTATGAACCTACCTGGTTGCATGGCGATTAGCTAACTTCCTAACCAAGCAGTACAATGGGATGGGATCGTTGAGCCCACGGTGTTGGTCTCAACTTATCATGAGTTTGATGCTCATGTGGGTGAGAAAAATGAAGTACAGTAGAACCCCAAAACGGCCATGAGGCCGTTTTTCTGTACTGGGTGATGTTTAACACACCAGTGGATTTTGGGACACCCCTGTTTCAGTCAAACCTATGGTTTCTGAAAACCCGAAGGACACGAGCTTGAAGACTCTGCCATCCTCCTCGACGTCGTACCAGAGTATGTTTGGGCCCCAGAGCTCATCGTGTAGTTTTTCTAAATGGAAAACGGTTGTCATATTTGTCACAGCAAAAAACGACAAATGTATGATGGATGTATCATGTGGGTTCTGATGGTTTTGTGAAGAGCCATCCATAACTTATGATCCAAGTCACTTGGAGACTTTGGCGGAGATTTCTTGGGAGCTGTCCTACTTTTTGAGTACATTGTGTTTCAACCCGGACATCATTCTGGGGATGGTTTTGATGTCCTTCAACGGATGTCTCATCGACTCATTGAATGGAAAATTCATGGCCCACCATCCTTTATGTGTGTGGATCGTAGCTAAGGCTACCTATCTCTGAGATATTTCCCGCTGGGGATCAAAAAACCAGCAACCCCATGCCTCATGGACATTGGTTGTCCTGCGTGGACCCTGCGTAAAACGCAGGATCTGGCGAACCTTGAACAACAGCCTGGCCCGTAAACAGAGACGGAAAAGGCCAGGAATCCCATGGTGGGGTTCCTGGTTGTATCTAATCGCAATCGAGATAGGGGACATATTGACATATTGGGATATGATTCTATGATGGAGATAGGGGATATGGGGATGTATTGGGAGATGTTTAACCAGCAAATATTGGGATATGGATGGATATGAGGTGTGTCTGAAAATGGATTATCCCAAATCTGATGGTTTGTCATCATCACACCTCTATTAAGATATATTAAAATATAGTGATCTTCGGGTATACTACCGGTATCCAATGGTATACATATTTTTAGACAACTCTATGTTGTGGTGTGCAAAGCGAATGTAGGTCTATCAGATTTTTTCGAACAGAATGACTTTGGGCTTTTCCCGGGAATGGAGACCATGATGTGAAAGCTTCCAACTGTCTGCCGTAGTGCCAAAGTTTTGATGTCCTTCTGGTTTGGTTTAGAGTCACCCTTTCCCTAGTTTTCACTTATCGAAGTTAACATTATGAAATTTCAGAAGTATATTTTATATGCATACCCTCTGGTGAACTAACATAGCAATGGAAAATCACCATTTTTAATGGGAAAATCCACTATAAATGGCCATTTTCAATTGCTGAGGGTACATAGAATACACCAGCCACCTGACCAACTGGTGCACTTAGTGCGCCATCCTATTGGTTTACTCTACCAATCCGGAGGCTTCTGCCGCTGTTGCGTCGTGCAGTGGACAGCATGGTGACGCCACGGGCAGAAGTGAAGGGGGCACTGGCGCTGCAATTGGGTGGCACCAAAGAGGCCATGAAGCTTTGGAAGGAGGCCCCGGCCGACCAGAAATCTAGTGAAAGAAATGCCATTTATTACCCTCTGGTAATTTAACATAGCTGTTGAACATGGCCATTTATAGTGGATTTTTCCATTAAAAATGGTGATTTTCCATAGTTATGTTAGTTTACCAGAGGGTAAATTTATTGGGTCACCCAAATGATTTTCATGGTATGATAAACAGCGGAAATCCAATGACGAAGCGCAAACTCTGTTCGAAACCTCATGATGAACCCTTGGGTGATGCCTTTGATGACCAAAAAAATGGCCAGAATCTCGGCCTGGCGAAGCTTGACAGATGGGTTGTCTTGAAAAACTACAGAGGACAAGACTGTCGGAGGAGTTTCTACCCAGGATTGCCCATATCTTATTTTTGGCTTAAATATATTTGAACGACTGAAAGATATACGGCTGAGAACCATTTTGAATTTCTCAAAAGGAGAAAGAGAGCACAAGGGCGTAGAGATAGCATAGAGATAGCAAAGTAAGCAAAGAAAAACCGGTTTGAGAATTTCCAGAATTTCTTATTCAAAGATATAGTCAGCCCTACTGGCACATCGCTGGTCCACACCGGGGGAAGAATTTGCCTTGCAGGCCATGTCCTTGAAGCCCAGTCGTGCCATGGCCAACAAGGCAGACGCTGACGGTGTGGTTTCGTCGCAACTTTCAATTTTCAGAACCTGAAATTCAGATTCAATGCAGAATTATTGTGAATTAT